TCTCTCTCTCTCTCTCTCTCTCTCTCTCTCTCTCTCCACACACACACACACACACACACACACACACACACACTCACTGAAGATAATTTGTTTTCTACCTTTTGTCTCTGTAAAATTGTGAAAATCACCCAAGAAATGAGGAGTTGATAATATCTGGAAAGCATTTTTATGTACTTGAATGGAATGCTTTGGATGGCTTTAGAAGTAACTATCATGATCTTATATTTATTTAATTCATTGCTGCCATGGTTGTCTCTTCTCCAGTGTGTATTACACCCGTTCATGTCTTTCTGAATACACCTCATAGTTCTTGCACTATTAAAATCTGCTTTTCTCAATGATAATAATATCTTACATTTCTAAGGCACTTGGTAATTTAAAGAACATTTTTGTCTCTGTTATTTGCTTAGTTCATAACAGTAGTGCTGTGAACTAAGCAGGGTACATATTATTATCTGCATTTTACAGATATATTTCATTGATTTTTTTTAATAGTATAGGAGATTGAACCCAGGGACTCACATATACCTGACAAGTACTCTACCACTGAGCTGTATCCTCAGCCCATCATTGATTTTCCTTGTTAATATTTTTTTTTAGTTATAGATGGACCAATACCTTTGTTTTTTATTTATTTTTATGTGGTGCTGAGGATCAACCCAGTGCCTCACACAGGTGAGGCAAGCACTCTACAACCCCAGCCTCCATCATTGACTTTGAATGTTGGAAGGTGCCTCTAGGATCACAGAGGTTGATTCTCTATATTTTACTGGTGAAAAATCCAAGTCTCAGAGAGTGTGAGGCAACCTCCAGCTTCGAACTGCTCACCAGTGACAGAACCTGAACCAGGTCTTGACCCCTCTGTCTTTAACCCTGCTCTCTTAGAGGTGTCCTTACCACGTCATCCAGAATCATGTAAAGGGAGCTGGGTAGAAATGGAGATTTCTGGCCCCTACTTCAATATGTTGAATTAGATTCCCAAATGGAAGGCTGAGAAATCTGCATTTAAGACTCATTCAGATTATGCTTAGAATTGCAAAAGCTATTATTGAAGATCCTAGTCCTCTTTTTATGCTGTAGTTTTGAGGTTCATGGCCACCACCATGAGAGCCTCTTTATGAATTCTTTAGTGCCCTTTGTTGTCTTCATTCCTACGGGTTGAACTCTCAGCACTCAGTGATCTGTCTGGGATGGTGCTCGTCTCTCCAAAATGAGCAGCTAGACTTTGTTTTGAGCCCTGCACTGTGTTGAAGGCTGAGGTGGATATTTAAAGGGCCGTGGTCAGGACAGACTCCAAGACGCTAAGAGAGGAGAATGAGCCTGAGTGGTCCAGGAGAAGGGAGGGGGTGATCAACATCACCCCATCTTAAACACAGTGATTTGGATAACTATCAGGGTGATTCATGCTATCCCTCTGCTCATGCCAATTGCAGGCACACACCTGTAGCTGGGGTAGCTCGAGAACAATATTTGTTCTTTTAGGGTGACAGAAATGTGACAGAGTTTGTGCTTAGTGATTTTGTGCATGATCTTTTTTAAGACTTCAAATATCTCTGAATCAAGAAGGTATCATTATGTCCCACTCTGAAACTGTCGCTCAAATTACTTGATTAAATTCTTGTGACTGATAAGTGGTAAGTCCAGGACTGTAAATATTTGGTTGCTTCTAAAATTGATACTTTAGCCTCCACCATATACATCTGAATCACATTAACCTCTAATTAAAATGGATTTTATATTTGTACACTTGCCTATTCACCAAGATTTGCTTGTAACCCAAGAATCAATACTTATAGCGCTTCTATGGCCATTGGACATGTACAGAGTAGTGCATGTGGTCTGTAGCAGAGACTCCAATGTGGGGACTTCTTGTTTGAACTCTCATACTGGAACATAGCGCTCTTTTTGCAATTTAGAGCCATGACCTTGAAATTTTGTTGCTTTTAGTTGGCGACTCACTGTAGGCAATGGCTCCTATTAGGCATAGTGTTGAAGGTGCTATCTATTGTCCCTAATCACCAGAAGCCTTTGATGGAGAAAACACGTGTTTGTTAAGTCTTGTTCCAGCATGAATGACAGTGCTGTTAATGATGTGCTCCATCTTAATGAATCAATCAAACATATTAATTCAGACATCTTTAAACAGAAACACACATAAAACAAGGTTATGTATTGATCAGTTGTAACTGGAGGCTCACTGGAACCTAGTCCTGCACTTCCCCTGGGGACAATGGTTCAGAATTGATCAGTTCAAGGTTGGAGATGACTTTATACAACCAAACTACCAAGAATAACAAGGATTGGCTCTATTTCCTTGTGAGGACCCCAGGAGGCAAAAGTGACCCCAGTGACCAGGAGCCTATTTAGACTTGCAGGGTTTACTGGGGGGTGTCCTGGGCCTGTCCACTAGCTCTGGGTGTGTCCGTCCCTCCATTAACACTGGACTTCCCTGTTCTCTCCCACAGAGGGGCACTGCTGAGCCCTTCCTGAGGCTCCACAGCCTGTACTCCACCCCTCGCTGTTCGCGGCAGGCCCAGGCGGCCGCCCTGCCCCGGCTGGGCCGCCGGGTGGTCAGCCAGCACTCCTACCCGCTCAACCGCTTCTCCTCCGTGCCTTTCGAACCCATGGAGCGCCCCACCTCCCAGGCCGACCTGGAGCTGGATTACAACCCGCCGCGGGTGCAGCTCAGTGACGAGATGTTCGTGTTCCAGGACGGAAGGTGGGTGAACGAGAACTGTCGCCTCCAGTCCCCTTACTTCTCTCCTTCTTCCTCCTTCCACCACAAGCTGCACCATAAGAGGCTGGCCAAGGAGTACCTGCTGCAGGAGGAGAACCGGGCCCTGCGCGAGGAGAACAAGGCCCTGCGGGAGGAGAACAAAGGCCTCCGCAAGGAGAACAAGATCCTGCAGGTCTTCTGCGAGGAGCACAAGGCCGCCCTGGGCCGCGAGGAGAGCCGCGCCTCCTCCCCACCGCTGCACAAGGACAACGCGTCGCTGGAGGCGGTCAAGAAGGACAACGCGGCCCTGCCGTCGCAGTGCAGCAAGGAGAACAGCACGCTGCAGCTCCTCCGGGAGGAGAACCGAGCCCTGCAGCAGCTGCTGGAGCAGAGGCAGGCCTATTGGAGCCAGGCCGAGGACAAGAGCACCTCTGCGGAGGACAGCAAGCCAGTGCCCTCTCCCCACCAGGAGCCGCACGGGCCTGGACTGCTGCCCGACCAGAGCCCGGGCCTTTCCTCTCCCTTTGAAGAGCCCAAAGGACCCTCGAGCCCGCAAGAGGACTCCAAGACCCTGCGGGCCTTGAGGGAGATGGTCAGCAACCTGTCGGGGCCTTCCAGGGAGGAAGAGGGCAAGACGGTCACCAGCCTGGTGGGTGGAGAGCAGCCCCTGCAGCTGATGAGAGAGATGAGCCAGGCGCTGCAGGCCCTGCGCGAGGAGAATCGGCTCTTGCAGGAGGAGAACAGGGCCCTGCACGTGCTCCGCGAGGAGCATCGCGTCTTCCAGGAGGAGAACAAGGCCCTGTGGGAGAACAACAAGCTGAAGCTGCAGCAGAGGCTGGTCATCGACACGGTGACCGAGGTCACCGCCCGCATGGAGATGCTCATCGAGGAGCTCTATGCCTTCATGCCGTCCAAGAACAAGGACCTCAAGAAGCCCAGCAGGGTCTGAGGCCTTAGCAGTGGACCAGGGACACGAAGTTCAGGCACAGAACACCTCACCGGGCCCAAGAAAATCCCCCTCTTTCCCTCGTTGTCCTTGCCTTTGCCCACCAGTGTGTGCCTGCTGCAGAGAGGCGTTAAGGGACCTCCTAAACTCAGAGAAGAAATAAAGGCCTAGGAGGCTGGGATTAGCCAACACCAGCATGCCACTTTGGCTTCTTTTCCTTTTGCAAAAAAAGTAGAATTGTTTAGAGCAATTTTAGGTTCATAGAAAAATTGAGCTGAAGGTACAGAGCTCTCATATGCCCCCTGCCCCCTCACAGGCACAGTTCCCCCACTACCAACGTCCCCCACCAGAGTAGTATGTTTGTTAAAACTGATGATCCTACACTGATATATCATTATCTCCCCAAGTCCACAGCACATTTTAGGATTCCCTTTTGAAAATTGGGTATTAGGTTTGGACAGTGTATGACACGGCCACCGCTGAAGTATCAAACAGAACGGTCTCACTGTCCTACAGCTCTTTAGTCATCTTACCTCCAGGCTCTGGCAACCACTGTCTCCAGAGTTTTGCCTTCTCTAGAACGACAACGTGTAGTTGGAATCATCCAGTAGGTAGCCTTTGCAAATTGCTTTCTTTGACTCCAATATGCATTTAATTTCCCTCATGCCTTTTTGTAGATTGATAGAGCATTCCTTTTTGCCATTCCATTCTATGAATGTACCACAGTTTATTTACCCATTTACCTTCTGAAGGACATCTTGGTGGCTTCCAAGTTTTAACAATTATGAATCTACTTTCTTTTTCTTTTCTCCCCCAGTCTCTCTCTTTTGCCTTTACTGTTTCTGTTTTTATTTCCTCATTTCTTCCTTCCTCCTTTTCTGCTTCCTCTTGTCTTTCTTATCTCCTATTTCTGAGGCTATAGCATTGGGGGAGAAGAGATCACTCTAAGTCGGGGCTTTTCAACTATGTCACTTGACATTTGGGAATGCATACCTCTTTGTGTTAGGGACTGTCCTGTATGGTATTCTCCAGCATCCCCGGCCTCTCCCCATCAGATACCACTTAAGGCCAACTGTCCCACAGCTAAGGCAAATACGTCTCTAGAGATTGTCAAATATCCCATGGAAAACAAAATCCCAACACTGCCCCAGGGCTCTCAAAGTATAGCCCTTGAACACAAGTCCATGAAATGCTCTGAGAAAACAAAGATTTCTACAGGGGCAATCCTATTACAATTCTCTCCATTAGATTCATAATTCTCTGACTTAATGCTACAAAGTAGTCTGCTTATCTTTGGGGAACCCTAGATTGCCTGATTTTATTGGATTCCAAGGGAATCCCTCTTTATATTACTTTGTTGATAAACAAGTTTGGGAAGGGGTGCTTTCTGCTCTCCCTGACCCTAGGCTCACCTTTATACCCCTGGATTCACACTTCCCACTTGGATTCAAGAGCTTGGGCAGGTGGCTACCAGGCTCATTGAATGAAGGTATAGAGGCTCAAGATTTGGTGTCTTGGTCTTTTTGAAAATTCTCATTTTAAAGTTGAACATACTTTAGAACAAGAAGTTGAAAGGTAGCCTCAGGCAACTAAAGAGCAGAGTTTGGCTCCCAAACTCTGTTTAAGACTGAAATATCCTCACTCCTAATGTGTGTTATTGCTGCCTAAATTTCTGAGACTTGAGCAAATTCCAAAAGGCAGTAACTCCTTTGTATCTCCCTTTTCGCTTGATGACTCCTTGTGATCCTTAGAATCTGTGAGGTGGGCAATGTCATTTTTTCCACAGCTGTGCAAATGGGAAATCCAAGTGATTTGCCAACTAACCAGAAGGGAAGAGCCAGTCTGGGTCTTCAATATAGACTGAATAACTGCCGAGCTCAAACTCCTTGAGCTTACATTGCCAATTTCCTGGTCTCTAAAAATTAAATTTAAAAATGGCTTCAGAGCCTGTTTTCCAGGTTCAAGAACTTGTCAAGTTTGGAAATTCCATAGGGGAGAGGACAGCCTGAATAGTATTCCTTCTCACCAGTTGGTGACTATACCTTTAATCTGTACCTGAGGTGTGGGGGTGGGGTGAGGGGGTGGGGTGGGGTGCATGCAAAAGCTGAGTAATTTATTCCACCGTTGTCACCCAAATCTGAAAAATTGGAAGTAGCTGTTGATGGGCCTCTGGACCTTTGTATTTTTTGCTTCCTATATTTGAAAAATTCATCATTTGGGGCATCATGAAATACCAGACACTGTTTAAGTCAGTGTAGTAACTCCAGTGGGTAGGGTTTTTGATTTGGGGTTTTTGATGAAACCAAACTGATTTCTGTTATTGTAGACAGAAAGTTGAGAAGACTAAAGACACACACTCCCCACGTTCGTGTTCCAAATATTTAACTTGGATTAATCTATATAACAGCAGTGGAATGTTTTCTCACAAGCTGAAAGAGCTCAGAGAACTTAATACTATTTAACAATGTCAACTTTCTCTGTCAGGCAGATTGTGAATGGGTGAAAAATTAGCAAGACAAGCCATAAAACATCATTTTTGTGGAGCGGGGGAGATTTATTTCAAAACAATGTTATATTGTACAGTACAATGCAATCTGTCACAGATTAGCTAACATTCTAGTGGGACCTAACCTCTGGTAGAACAGAATAAAATTTCATTTTTAAAGGAAAGTTTTCTTTCAGCATCTCGCTCCTTTTTTCTGTTCCGTGTCTGCCTCCTGGTCCAACCTTAGGTCTTCCTCGAATGACCAAGCCTGTTTGCTCTTTGCAGAGCAGTTCACATGTAGAGAGATACTGCTATATAGGAAGCCAAAGAGCCCAGGTTACGGGCAACACTGTTCTTTTATAACAAGGCTCTTTTGAGAACTATCCAAAGGGTTCCACAGGGACTATGTTAATCCCTTCCTAGGGCATTCCCCCAGTGACCTAAAGAGTTTCCCTAGGTCCCAGCTCTTAACATCACCACCCTGGGGACCAGGCCTCCAACACGTGAACCCTTGGGGAGCATGCTCAAATGATTTGATCATAGCAATTGTCCTCAACTTAGTAGAGAGTGACAGAAATGGGAACCAGAAAAAAAAAAATCTGAAGAAAATTGTATGTGTTTTGTATGCTCAGATCTCATCACTTTTCTAAGAAATTTCCATAAATTAGAGTGGTTGCAGTCTTCAATGCCTGCTGAGGTCCAGTGTCACCCTGGGCAGCATGAGCAACAGCACAGAGGAGGGTAAACTGGGACAAAATGTCGGATGGAAGAACAGGAGACCCATAAGTCCTCCTTAATCACCATGAGTTCATTGTCCTCAAAGTTGAATTTCTGATTCATCAGATGAGAAATGACTTTTGTTGAGAAACAGGGCCATTTTCAGAGTATTATGGAAATACCAAGAGCAGCTGCTAGGAACTGGCTTGCTTTCCATTCATAATTTTGCGCCTCTCAGTTGGACTCTAGTCTCCCACAGCAGAGAGAACGTTTATACTTGGAGTTTTCCACCCCCTTCCTTATTCGCATGCAGGTCTTCTCCAATCTGAGCTCCCATCAGTTTTTCTGGATAAACAGTTCTTTCCAGATTTCTTATCCTCTTTGTTCACTCAAACAATGGCCTTTCTAACCAAGAACAAAGTTACGAGCAGGTGACAGATTATTTTTAATGCTGTCAAGACAAGTGGCTGTTTAATTTATGACATTTTCTCTCTGGAAGGCTGCCTTTATTCTTTGCAGATAGGGCAATTCAGAACTCTCCGCCTGAAATGCAAAATCCTCTGGAGGAGAAAGCACTAAGCAAAAAATCCTTTTCAGAAACTAGTCATTTGTCACTAAGGGAAGAGAGTTTCTTGGTTACCAGTTACATTCTGTAGGTCTGTGTTTGTGGGGTGTCCACCTTTACCCTCTCCTTCCCTCATTCACCAGGTAACCCTTGATTCTCTTAAAATAGCCCTTGGACTCTCAAACTTTTCTCTTTTCCCCATGATGCAACTCCAGTCCCAGCTACCATTATCTGCTGGGTGAAGGCCACAGCTCTGAACTGATCTGTTCCCAGGGTTACTTCTGGCCCATTCTCTGTGTTGCCATCAGACTGACTTTCCTAAATATGTGCATGCAATCTTGGCATTTCCTTCCTTAAAGTTCATCACTGTCTTTCCATAGTCTTTGGGATAAAAATTTTACTCCAGGTTTCTTGCTTAAGTGTAGATGCTACTTTATATTCTTCTCACCATCAGAATTCAGTTATCACATCAGTGCTTCTAGAGATCCCCACTGGGCTCCTTCAAATGAGCCCAATTGTCACCCTGTCTCAAGGCAGTTATATCTAGAAGAGGACAAAGATGATACCTCCTGAGAAGGGCAGGCAGAGCTCTGGGGAAGGTGTACTTGGAGTAATGAGAAAGGATGGTACTAGGACTGAATTGTGTTTGCCAATTTATATGTTCAAATCCTAACCCCCAGTGTGATGATATCTGGAGGTGGGGATTTGGGGTGATAATTAGGTTTAATGAGGTCACAACAGTGAGTTCTTCATGATGGAACTAGTTCCCTTATAAGAAAAGACACTAGAAAGTTGGTGTGCTCTCCGTCTCTGTCTCTGTCTCTGACTCTGCTATGTGAGGACATAGAAAGAAGGTGGCGGTCTGTAAGTTAGGAAGTGGGCCCTCACCAGAATCCAAATATGCTGTCCTGATCTCAGATTTCCAGCCTCCAGAACTGTGAGAAAATCAATTTCATTTGTTTGGACCACCCAGTCTCTGCTATAGTGTTATGGGAACTATACCTGACTAAGACAGATGGGATATCTTTCCTGCTAGGTGCTTGTAATAAACTCGAATAGGATGCAGTTGTGCTGGTGGGTATCAAAAAACCAATAATCTCTCATTCTTCTCTTTTCATTGAGTAAAGATCACAGGTTTGCACCAGCAACATGGACTTTAGGACAGACTTCTGGGGGATGTCTCAGCTCTACCACTTACTATGTGACCTGGGGCAAGCTTTCTGTTTCCTCATCTATAAAATGTAAAAAACAACAGTACACACCTATATCAGTCACCGGTCACTGCATTACAAACCCATTTCAAAACTTAGTGACTTGAAGCAATCATTTATTTCATTTACAGTTGTTCTGTTTGGAAAATTAGGCTGCTAGACTCACCTGAGCAGTTCTAGTCTTGGCTGGATTCCTTCATGTCCCTGTGGTCAGTTGGGTGGTA